GACGCACATTTTTGCCTAACCCGTACTCCTCATGATTTTTTCTCAGAACATCTTATAACTGAAAATCCTTCAAAAATTCTTACCCGTTTCTAGAAATTATCCTCGAAATTCGCTTGAAATTTTGCTTAAAATCCCTTTGGAATTTCACTCAAAATTTGATTTTCTCGGAATTCTTCTCGAAATTATCTTGAAACTATCTGCAGGATGCACTAGAAATTATCCGCAGAATTTTATTTGAATTCTCCCCAGAAATATTTTGGAACTGTCCTAGGAATTCAATATCCTTGAGGTTCTTCTCGGAATATTTAAGAACTTGTTTTTTTTTTCTCATAATACCTTGGAACTGAAATCCCCTTACAGTTTCAGAAGAATTTCCTCTGTATTCTCAAGAAATTTTTCCCAAAATGATCTTGAAATTATCCTCGGAATTTCCTTGAAATTTTCCCCAACATCCCTTTGGAAATTAATGCAAAATTTGATTATTTCGGTATTCTTTTCGAAATTATCTTAGAACTATCTGCAGGATTCACTAGAAATTATTCACTGAATTTTCATGGAATCATCCCCAGAAATCTTTTCTTTTGGAACTGTCCTCAGAAATCAATAACCTTGAGGTTCTTCTCGGAAGTCAAGTTTAAGTTGTTCGTCCATTCACCAAAACGTTGTAGTTCTTCTACCAGAAATGTTCAATAAAGATTGCCCCTCCATTCAACAGAACTGTGCAATTTTTACATCAGAAATTTTCATTTCAACTTGCCCCTCTAGCAGATTGTTGCAAATCTAACACCAAAAATTTTCAATACAAACTTGCCCCCAGCAAATTTTACACCAGAAAATTTCAATTGACCAGAACGATGCAAATTTTCCACCGTTAATGTTCAGTAAAAATTGCTTCGCCAATCTTCTGAACACTTTTTCCATTTTCCACCAAATATTTTCAATATAGCTTGCTTCTCCTATCATCAGAATGTTGCAGGCTGTTCATCAAATAAAGCTTACCCCTATTTTCAGATTTTTCATCATAAATGTTCAGTAAAGCATATTCCCTCCAATCATCAGAATGGTGCAAATTTTACACCAAAAATTATTATTAAAGTTTGTTTCTCTATTCAGCAGAAGAATGCAAATTTAAACCAAAATTTTTCCGAAAAGCTTGCCCATCCGTTCACCAGAACGGTGCAGATTTTCCACCAGAAATTTTAAAATAGCTTAATTATAAATAAACCTTATGCTTTCATTTACCAGTGCAAGTTTTCCACCATAATTTTGTTATTCATTTCATTTATCAGAGCGATGCAAATTTTGCACCAGAAATTTTCAATAAAACATGCTCCTCAATTCACCAGAATGGTGCACCAAAAATTGTCAGTGAAGTTTGTTTCACCATGCACCTTTGTGGTGAAATTTTCAGGTTTTGCCTCTTCAATTTTCCACCATAAATTTTCGATGAAGCTTGCATTCATCAGAACGATGCAAATTGCACCAGAAAAATTAATAAACCTTGCTTCTACATTCACCACAGTTTTGCGAACTTTCCACCAGAAATTTTCAGTTAAACTTGCACCTCCAAATTTTTAGCGTGATTCATTTTTTCCACCAGTGCTATTCATTATCCCACTATATTCCCACCTTGATGATATATTTACACCAGAAATATTCAATAGAAAGCTTTTTCTTGAAATTTTATTGAATTTTATCAATCTTAAATTTACGCTCCAATTTTAGCCCTCCATGAAACACCTTAAAAAAAATTTTACACCATAAATGTTTTGTATGCACCAAAAAATGTTTTTGACCAAAACATTTCATTGAAGTTTGCACCTTGGGGAAGCAATTTTCAGGCACCATCTCAAAGTAATTGATGCAATAAAAGGTTTTCAGTGCCCTTATATTATGAAATGAAGTTATTTTATACCCCGTACAGACTATGCCTTATATCATGTAATATAGGCTGTATTGCAATGAGCACTCATACATAGGATTTCCAGTGAAAACTAGATGTATGAGTGCTCATTGCAAGACAGCCTATATTACATGATATAGGCCATAGTCTGTACGGGGTATTACCATAGAGGTAACTCTAAGACTGGTAGGTCCCGAAGAAACTTGCTCAACTTTTTGGCTCAACTCTGGTACTCTTTTCGGTCCCAAGCTAATCGATGCACCCCTCGAAACATTGTAAAATCCACGAACCCCTCATTTTATCAGTCAAACTTTCATAGATAATCAAAACAAACATATTGTAGGACTAGAATTTCAACTAGAATGGGATACGTTAATCGATTTGCTTGGGACCAATAGGCTAGTCAAGTAGTGAGCCAACTTCATATCGATAGTTTCATATTGATTGTTGGTATTACCTTCAAATCAAGTTATCAAGAAATCAAGCTATTTTATATCATAATTTTGTAAATGTGCCCCACCATGTGCACGCCAGTGATTTCTAGGCTCTTATTGTTAAGATCAATCAAGCGCTTTGGAATTACGAGTACTGCATATAAATGGTTTGAAAGCTATTTGTCTGACAGAACTCAACGGACTGTTTTTAATGATTATGTTTCCAGTCCCGTGGGGAATAACCTTGGAGTGCTCCAGGGAAGTGTATTAGGGCCCCTGTTATTTATTATGTATATTAATTACTTGCGACGTGTTTTACAGTTTTGCGAAATTAATCTTTTTGCAGATGATACTGTGTTATTCATTGCAGCTAAGGATTTAAATGATGCCGTTTTAAACTTGAATGAAGATTTGCGTTCTCTAAGTAGATGGTTGAAGTATAAGCAGTTGAAATTGAATACAAGTAAAACTATGGTAATTTCACGGAATCGAGTAAATGAGAACGTCTCTGTTGTAATTGATGACGAGACTATTGATCGCATTCGGGAGATTAAATATCTTGGCGTGATTATTGATGACACACTTAAGTTCAACTCTCACATTGACAATGTCATCAAGAAAATAGCCAAGAAGTATGGGATTCTATGTCGACTGAAAAACGATTTAACTATTGCCAGTAAAATACAGCTATACAAATCAATCATCTCTCCTCATCTAGACTTTTGCCCTTCCATTTTATTTCTGGCCAATGAAACACAAATATCGAGATTACAGCGCTTGCAGAATAAAATAATGCGTTTGATTTTGAGATGTAATAGATTCACTTCCTCAACTTTGATGCTAGACGCCTTACAATGGTTGTCGGTGAAGCAAAGAATAGTATATTTGACGATGGTGTTCATTTTTAGAGTAGTTAACGGTTTGCTGCCTCGATATTTGTGTGATCGAATTGAAAGAGGAAGTGACTTTCATAATACTAGAAACGCGGTTGAAATAAGAACACGACATTTTTTGACTTGTGCTTCACAAAATTCATGATATTTTAAAGGAATAAATGTTTTCAATTCGATGTCTAGACATATCAAACGTTCAGCAACACTTACTGAATTTAAAAGACATTGCATTTCACACGTTAAAACTGTCTTTTGAACAGTTATCCAGTGATTTTTTTTTTATGAAGTGACAAATTATGTACCTTGAAGTTATCTCTAACGGATTATTTTATATGGATAGGTGTCATAACGACTTTTTAATAATTATTGTAGCACTACAAAAACTATTTCTGTTCGCCACGATGGTGATGATGGATTTTTAATGTTTAATTTAATAGTAGATTAATTAAAAAAAAAAGTCTCCATAATATAAAAAAAAAAATTATCTTAAATCGTCCAGCTCAAACCTTTGTAGGAGTAAGAGGTGGGACCATCATCATCATCATCAGCAGCTCAAAAATCTTTGTTGTTGGTTTGACATTACAGCAACTTATTTTGCTATTATTCATAGCTTTTCAGTTATTATTTTTGATATTTTAACTCTTATTCCGATCAAACCAATAACGAATTGAACATCTGATATTCTTTTTTTAATAGCAAAACTTGCTATTGGTTTGATATCCTATTCTACTCGGGAAGTCAAAAGTGACTTGCTACCAACGCTGAAAGCTAGGCAAATTTTCGAAGTTCAAGATTGTCTGGTATCGGGATTCAGAATCTTTGGTCAGTCGGGGGTTTTTGAAAATGAAATTTAACTCACTTAACCCTGCCTTCAAGGATGATTAAAAATTCTGAATAAAAGCTGAAGATCGGGAAAAACTTTCTGAATTTCCTAGGTAGGGTAAAACATTATTTATCTATAATTTCGGCGTTTACGATTCAGTTTTATATATTTTAGGTCAAAAACTACACCACAAAGCCATTAAGAGCGCAGAATATGAATATTTACACTCTTTGTTCTCAAAACCAGCAGAAGTACTCCAAGCGAATCTATTTTTCCATTCCCTTTTTGCCTTCATCCGTATGACGAAGAATATCAAATTTCGTTCCAATGTGTTTGTACGAAATTGAAACCCGTAGGTCAAATTTGAAATCAAGAAGCAGTGTTGTATTTAAAACAAAATGTAAACAATAAATTTTTATAAAATGATTAAAAAACAATCTTAATAAAATTCATATGGTAAGGTAAAAATAAGAAACATTCCATAAGTCAAATGGAATCCACTCGAAAAAGAGCGGTAAAAAGCGGGTTGGTTACTTTTAAAACTAAGATTTAGAAAAACTATACCCAGAGAGGACATTTTTTATATTGAGACTAAAAAACAGAGGTTTTAGGATAAAAATCATTTAAAACCCTAACTTGAACCGATTCTATTGGATTCTTGAGATATTTTCTTGCAAATATAACTAACTATATTGAACCCACTTTACCCACAAAAGAGCTACAGAATTTGAATGCACTTATGCGTCTTTTTCCCCAGTGTAGATTACTTTGACTATTTTCCTCACGTTTCGACAATGGCTGCTAACTTTTTCAAGGGAGTTCAACCGTCATAATCCATCATTTTCTCAAGAAACCTTTTCATCTCCATTAATAAAACTGGTATCTCCTTGGATTCAGATTGCGTGTAAAAACTACAAACCCTCCCTATCCCCACCGCGGATACTCACTTTCAAGTTTGCCGAATGTACACGGTGACGAGTCGGAATAGGCGAGCTGCAGGTGCTTCAGCGATTGCTCGTAATCTCCATTCACTTTAAGCATAAGCCCAAGACGCAGGTGAACCTCATTGGCACGCGTAAAGTCCGGACAGACGTACAGCAATTGTTGGAATGATTTTATCGACCTGAAAAAAAAAAACAGAAAAGTGCATAAGAAGGACGATCGTGTAAATTGAGTTTGAAACAAATGGGTGCGCGTCGCCGTGGTCGTCGCGGAGGAGAAAGTGCAGCGGCTGCCAACAGCAGCAGCAGCAGCAGATAGCTGACAGGCTGCACCCGGTGCAAGTTTCGTGTCTTGTGTGTTTTTCGTTTTCTCCTGAGCACGAGCCTGCCCTCTATCAGCTGGACCTGCCTGTCAGCGTGGTCAAATTCGGGGCTCCTGCTGCGGTCACTGAGCAGTGAGCACTGCAAGGCAAAGCAAGCGAGCGTCCTCAACCCCAATCATTTATCATCATTTCCAGTGGGATGCAGTTGCAATCGTGCATTGTGGTCGGTCATTGTGCGTCCGTTTGCTACCGTTTACAACTCCGACAAAAACACCAAAAAGGAAATTCGCAACCTAATATTTTTGCAAGCATGACAGTCCCGTAAGCGTAATTGAAATTGATCATTTTTAATACCACCACAACTGTAATGCTATAACAGCAGATCGCAATCATCGAGAATTATTATCATTTTGCCACACCTAAAGGGCAATTTCGTTCGATTTGCATATGTTTGCTTTTTTTTTTTATTTGAAGTTTTACGCACCCGATTTTTATTTCAAAACTATACGATGAGATCTCCAACCGAGTTCGAATCGGTTGCTTGCTTGTATTCCTTCCACACAGTAATCCTCGAAACCTGCTGCTTCATATGGTGCTTTGCCTCCCATGCAGACCATCTGTCGACTCGACTGCACCCTTGTTTCTTTTTCTGCTTCTTCTTCGGACAGGAGGAGAGGTTTTTTACGGAGGATGCATATTGTTCCCTGCTGGCACACAAATACAGCTTTGAGCAACGGCGATGACGACGACGACACAGATAAAGGATGTATCTCGCGAGCGAGTATCTCCCTTTTTAAATCCCTTTCGTCGTGCGAAGGATCAAAGCGGAAAACGAGGACAATCTTCACCTGCTCTGGTGGAACAAGGGTTTCTCTGTTTGTCATGCTCATCAATTGTTTCGCTAGCTTGGAGTAAATGGTTCGTGAAAGATTGAAGCTGCACCAGCAGGCCCCGCAAAGAAGGGTTCAGCGCTTAGCTAATCAAGATTACTAAATAGTAAATTTTGTAACCTGCCCTCAGCTTGGCACTTGGCTACGCGCATATACGGTCGTTGACAACAACTCGAGCAAAGTCCAGCATCAAAATGACAGCAAATTGAAATCAAGTTTTGATATCAACATCAAACTGAGATCATAATTTGATATCAGTTTACGCAATTGACAGATTTCCCGAGCAAAGTCTGAGATCAAATTGAAATCTAAATTTGATGTTGTGATTTCGCTGATAATGATTACTCAGGTTGCTGTCGTTTTGTTCGTTTTAACGGTAAAAATATCACAATTGAGAGCAAACAAATCTTCCTGTGACATCACATTGAAAACTATTTCTGCTATCAGTGGGAGAAACTAAAAACTTAATTTGATATCAATTTTTCCTGTTGATAGCAAAACAAGTACACTGAAGTCTTTTTTTACATGGTTTTTTGACGCGGTTTTTTTTACACGGTTTTTTTACACGGTTTTCCACGATTTACACGGTACGTTTTTAACGATTTCTCGACAACGATACAACATATCGACTTGATTCCAATCACATTATCCGTTTCAAGCTATTTGTAATCGAATGGCATACTTAAAAAAATCGCAATTTTTGGTGTTAATACAGAAATTTTTAAAATATGCTTTAATTACGAATGGCATCAAAATCCGATTTTTTAAAAACATTTAAGCATGCGAAAAATCAAAATCTCGTAGGTTTTTTTTTACACGGTTTTTTTTTACACGGACCGTATCCCCCGTGTAAAAAAAGACCTGAGTGTATTCAATTTGATGTTATACTAAGGCAATGAAAACAAACCCGCAACAACAAATTTTTGAAGAGAAAATCTACAGCAAAATGAAAACAAAATTTGGTATCAAATCTGTCAATTACGTAAACTGAAATCAAATTATGATTTCAGTTTGATGTTGATATCAAAACTTGATTTCAATTTGCTGTCATTTTGATGCTGTACTTTGCTCGGGTTGATACCAAATTTTGTTTTCATTTTGCTGTAGATTTTCTTTTCAAAAATTTGTTGTTGCGGGTTTGTTTTCATTGCCTTAGTATAACATCAAATTGAATACTTGTTTTGTTATCAACAGGAAAAATTGATATCAAATTGAGTTTTCAGTTTGCTCTCACTGATAGCAGAAATAGTTTTCAATATGATGTCACAGGAAGATTTTTTTGCTCTCAATTTTGTTATTTTAACCGTTAAAACGACCAAAACGACAACAACCTGAGTAATCATAATCAGTGAAATCATAACATCAAATTTAGATTTCAATTTGATCTCAGACTTTGCTCGGGAAGCTAGTCAGTTTTCGCGATCCCCATGAAAAAGGGGAGTCCATGGGAATTGTTATGATATATATCTAAGTGTTTTTACATTGTTCCTGCATTGGCAATTCAGTATTTTAAACAGGTTTGCTATACCTACATGCATGTCAGTATAACAATTGACATCTTAAAACCTAAAACTAAAATTAAATCTTATCTAAGTATAAAGGGAATGAATCGTTGCAATTGAGGATTGCAACGATTTTTGCCTGAAATTATTAATTATTTTGTTGGACATTTGATCTAAAGCCTCAACATTCGAAATTCTATGCACTTCGGTAGTACTGTATCAGGGAGGCAACTTCAAAACCATCTTCAGAACTTTGTTCTGAATCCTTTGAAGTGCTTTTTTCCTGGTAGTGCAACAACTAGACCATATTGGAAGAGCGTAAAGTATGGCCGGTCTACAAAATTTGTTTAAATATTAGAAATTCGTCGGGCAAAGCTTGGATTTCCTGTTTATAAGAGGATACAAACATTTAACATATTTGTTACATTTGGCTTGAATGACCTCAATTTGATCTTTAAAAATTATTGTTGGTCAAGTACTAATCCAACATATTTCACTTGACTTGACCAAGAAATTGGAACTCCGTTCATAGTGACTATGTTTAGAAAAGGAATCTCTAGGCTTATATGGAAATATTATAAGTTTTGTTTTGGAAGCGTTGAGAGAAATCCTCCATTTTTGTAAATAAGAAGAGAAAATATCTAAACTTTTCTGCAGTCTGCTGCAAATAACACTTCTTCCTTTAGCGGAAATGCCTGTGTCATCAGCGAACAAAGATTTGTGGCAACCCTGAGGCAAATCAGGGAGGTCCGAAGTGAAAATGTTATGCAATATAGGCCCAAGAATGCTACTCTGTGGAACTCCAGCTCTGACAGGTAGTCGTTCAGGTTTGTAATTTTGGTAATTAACCTGCAGAGCTCTGTCAGTTAAATAATGTTGCACCAATTTTATAATATAGAGTGGAAAATTAAACTTTTTTTCAATTTTCATGCCAAACACTGTCGAATGCTTGTTCTATGTCTATAAGAGCAACTCCAGTTGAACAGCCTTCTCTTAAGAGTTGATGAGTAGTTGAATGCCCATGGCGAAATCCAAACTGTTCATCAGCAAAAATTGAGTTTGTATTGATGTGAAGCATCATTCTATTGAAAATTCTCTTTTCAAAAAGTTTACTTATTGAAGAAAGCAAACTTATTAGACGGTAGCTAGAAGCTGAATTTTTATCCGGCTTTAAAATTGGAACAACTTTTGAATTTTTATATTTAAGTATGCCAAATGGAAACATCTGTTAAATAATTTTACCAAGAAAGACAAGGTACTCTCTGGGAGTGTTTTAATGAGGATATAAAAAAATTCCATCATCACCTGAAGCTTTCATATTTTGAATTTTGTTTTAGTTATAGATCGTATCGTCCTAATCATTAACAATATTTTCCCGAGAGAAAATATTCAGATAATCCCGAGCAACCTGATTCTCAATAGGACTAGTAAGACCCAAACTGAAATTATGGGAACTTTCGAATTGCTTAACAAGTTTCTGAGCTTTTTCCAAATTTGTGATCAAAATTTTACCACCTTCTTTAAGCGCTGGAATAGGCTTTTGAGGTTTTTCCAAAAAATTTGTGAGTTTCCAAAAGGTTTGGAACTTGGGTCTGATTTCGAAACATTATTTTCAAAAGCTTTGTTTTAGCAAATCCCGCCAGATAACTTTCATGGCAGGATCGCGTGTTCTTTGATATTGCCTCCTACGGACATTTTTCAGACGGATCAAGAGCTGAAGGTCATCGTCTATTATAATTGAATCGAATTTAACCTCGCAATTTGGTACTGAGGCAGCTCTTGCTTCATCTAAAGAAGTAGTCAGAGATTCAAGAGCATAATTAATTCCAGCTATGTTCCATAAATGTTCGATATTGCTCCCAATCAATTGAAAGTAGAGCTGTTGGGATTAGACATTATTTCTTGGGATACTTCAAAATTTACTGGAAGGTGATCAGAACCGAAGTCAGCATGAGTAACCAATTGGCTACAAAGTTTACAAGAATCAGATAACACCAAATCAATAGTTGAGGGATTTCTTGCTGAAAAAAGCATGTTGGGCTGTTTGGATATTGAATAGTGTAATATCCTGTAGAACAATGATCAAACAGAATATTACCATTGGAATAGCTTTGAGCATTATTCCATGACCGGTGTTTTGCATTTAAATCACCAGAAATGAAGAATTTACACCTATGTCGGGTAAGTTTCTGAAGGTCACCATTGAGAAAAAATCTTTTGCTGGCCTACGCATTGGAATGGCAAATAGGCAGCTATAAACGTAAGTTGTCCAAATTTTGTTTCGACAGAAACTCCTAAGGTTTCAAAAACTTTGGTTTCTAATGAAAAAAAAATATGTTTGATTCGTTTATGCACAATGATGGCAACACCACCACAGACTCTATGAAGACGATCATTTCGATAAATGAAATAATTTACGTCCCTTTTAACCTTATGGTCAGGTTTAAGGAACGTTTCAGTTATAACG